AAAAGAAAATTGGAGGGGTTCCTGTAAAATCCATAATCTCCTGCATAAAGGCTCACAAAAATACTCCCTCGCGTCAATGACAGAAAGTCCTCCAAGAAGAAGAGGATAGGGAGAGCCACTCACTTTTCTAAATAAATGAACAAAAATAAAAAATTGTATTGCATTTGTGCATCACACACACATTAGTTGCACATTCAAAAGACCTTATCATGAGGCAACTGCATAAAATAGAAAAATAGAAAATTGCTTGTGTATGACAGCAGCAAGCAAAATACAAAGATTCAGAAAATCAGCAGCATCATACAGAATAATTGAGCCTGGAGAGGCTTGCCGAAATAATACTCTCTCATAATAACTGAATTCAAAATTCTCTGGCAATTTAAATTCTGTACAGAAAAAGCCAAAAAAGAAAAAAGGCAAGGATATAGAAAATTTAACCTAAAGGCACATAACAAGATTGATCCATAAAGACTAATGTATGAATAAAAAACAATTTCAAGACAAAGTGAATTGTTCTATAGATTTATGGTTGTGACACAAGAACAATTCTAATCCATGCAAATCAATATAAAATCAAGAGCAACACATTAGAAATGAACAAAAACATTAAACAACATGATTTGACTGAACGAAATTGAAAGGAAGCTAAAGTAAAGTGTTTACCAAAAAGACCTTGCTCTTGATACCAATGGAAACCTCAAGAAGAGACTTAATTGATGAAGCTTGTCAGAACCTAAAAAATTCTGATCTTGCCCACAGATAGTATGGACTTCCATTTTGAAAATCTCATCAGTTAAGGAATACCCAGACATTAGACTAATTCCTAACCAATGATTTTTGAAAAGGTTTGAAGGAGTCGCCACCAATGTTCTACTTAAAACATTGGAAAAAGAAAAGATTTTTAAAATTACAATAATGGCCTTCATAGCTAGAATTGGGTTTGGTGGTCGATTACGTGTAAGGAAGGTGTTAGGTACCCTACGATTCCCTAATTCGGTACCCTATGATGATTTTAGCATAATAATAAACAATAATTTAAATGTTTACCCCTTTTATTAAGAAACTATTTACATTTGAATTTGAAATTACACGATCTCCCCTAAGATGTGTACATGGTTGTTTTTATTGATTAACAATGTTGTATGGCATAAATAATAGATTGAAGGAAGGATTTTTGTGAAATACCTCTTGATCGAGCTTTATTGGATCTTCAAGGGCAGAATCTAGGTGTTTTTTGGCAGCCTTTCGCATTATAATTACCTCACAAATCTCAAGAAATACAAAAAAAGGGAGAAGATAAGTGTCTAAACTCTAGAGGGACTTTTAGATACTAAATTTTCTAGCCCCGAGCACTGTGTCCAAGTCTGCTATTTATAGGCAAGAAAATCTACTAGAACGGGCCATTCTGATTTCGAAATGGGCCGTTTTAGACTTTTCTATTATGTGTAAAATTTGAATCTAGAATGGCTCGTTCCCAAAGCAGAATAGTCCGTTTCGGATTTGAATTTTACACATAACAGAGTCGGTTAGAATAGGGCATTCTGACCTAGTGTTGACGTCCTTGGTGAAGGTGGATGTCAGAACCTTCAGCGGATACTCGGCAGTGATCCTAGTTTTGACTCAAGGTACTTGGCGGTGCCCTCGATGTCACTCATTGATTTGAAGAACTCGATGGTGTCTTCAAATCAAGATGAGTGTTCACGCCCTTTATGAAGGTGGACGTCAGAATCTTTGGCAGATACTCAACAATGACCCTTAGTTTTGACTTGAGGTACTCAGCGGTGCCCTCGATGTCGCTCACTGATTTGAGGAACTCGACGGTGTCTTCAAATCGAGATGAGTAGATGTTGGCGTCTTTTGTGAAGGTCGGCGTCGTATCCTTTGGTGAATACTTGATGGTGATCCTTGAACTGATGTTTGTAGGCCCTGAGGTTGACGGGAAAAAGATGCCTGAAATGCCCCTATATTAGTCTAAGATTAGCAAGATTTTGCTGATGCCCTGCTAAGTGAGTTCTGTAATGCCTCTCTAGGCGTCTCTGGTTGGGGAATGAGATATGCGATAGAGATTTTGGTGTTGTTCCTACCGTATGAGTATTATGATGCATGTCCAAGCGTCTTCTGAGGATTGGTTTCTCTGATTTGGTCGCCTTTTTTCTTAGGCGAGAATGTCTAACAAAGATAGTTTGTAGATAATGTCCTTGTGCTAGTGGGTGAAAGATCATCCTTTTTGTGGGATGATCAATTTTTTTTCTACACGCAAGATGTTGAATGTTTGCTTATTCCTCCTGGGCAGGTTCTACTCTGTCTTGTTGTTGTTGTACTTTTCTTTGCTTAGTGGCTATGAAACCAATTTTAGAGAGTTCCCTTACTTCTTCCGTCCCTTTGTCGATATGGTTTTGGCCCCTGTGGCCTTTCTCGACTGTTGAGTCTTTCTAACATTTGTCGATGCTTTTGGCTTGAGAACTCCCCGTGACTCATGGCAAGTAAACACAAGCGAAGAATGCAAGAATGCAAGATGCAAAGAGAATGCAAAGAAAAATGGATTGGAATTCTTCTCTCTTTCTCATTCTTTTTTAAAGTTGAGTTTATAGCCTTTTGTGCATCCTTGTTCCATATGCATGTAATGCATTAATGCTTATATGCTAAGCTTAAAGTGCAAATTAATTTTTACCTTCAAGAAGTTAATCTATGCACATTAATTATTGGTATGGAATGTTAACCTTCAACCACGTCGAATTCATTCCAAGTGTTGCCTTTTGAACCCGAGGTTTGTGCAGTTCGACCCTCTTGCTTGTATCGGATATGTTGTATCAGCCCTTAGATTAGGTGTACATACACTTTGTTCCAGGACACCTCCAATTTCTCCCTATGAGGGTTCACTGTGCATACTCTGTGTATCTCTCAATATTACCTTAATGCCATATAGGTCAAGAGAAAGAAAAAGGATGTACATATTTTTTTGTAAAAGGTTTGATAAAAGGGATTTTTCAAAAATGATTTTTAGAAGCATGGCTGACCGAGGTAGGCTAGTGTTTTAGGTTGATAAACAAACATATCCGTTACCAGGAATTCGTTTTTGTACTTAGCCTTTTCTTTTTTAGGAGTCAAGCAATGACTTGGGATCATACTTTCATTGAATGATCCTCCCCTGAGCCCCTTTTTAGTTTTCAACTCAGGTTGCTGCTTTAGTATCCTAACTTTTGCCTAGGTCACTTGAGATGTGTTCCCTAGTGGACATTTTTCTTTTAATCCTTACTTTTGCCTATGTTTCCCTTTTTGCTTGTGGGTCTCCTAGCGAATTTTACCCTAATTTTTGCACAGCCCCCTTAGCGGGTTTCTTGTCGGGCTTCTGTCTTTGCAGCCGAATGAATGGATCATGAATCAGTACCTTGCAAGCAATCGCAATTCTCAGCTTCTTTGCGGACGACGTCGAGGACGGAGTCGATGAGTTCAGCGCCTTCGGTGTAGTGGCCCTTGGCCCAGTTTTTGTCGGCACCGGACTGGCCGAAGACGAAGTTGTCGGGGCAGAAGATCTGGCCGCAGGGGCCGGATCTGACGGAGTCCATGGTGTCGGGCTCCAGATCCATGAGGACGGTGCGTGGGACGTACCTTCCGCCGCTGGTCGAGTTAGAGGTCGGAATTGTCTAGTTCTATTCAAAATTCTCTCTCCCTAAAAGTCTCAAGCTCTCTTTGATTTCAATCCAATTCTCTTATCCTCTTCATACAAGAGTGTGGTGAGTTTTAAAGTGATTCATCTTCTCCCAAGAAGTTGCATCACTTGAAGAGTGTTCTTCACCATTCAAGGTGAAATTCGAGGTCTCTTCTACCTTAGGAGGCTTTGGAAAAGCTTGAGTAGCTCTAAGGAGCCAAAGGTCTAGGGAGGAGCTTGGAGGAGTAGCCATAGCCAACCAATTATTCAACAAGTTTTTCATCAGAGATGCTAAGTTCCTTAGCCATTTTTGGAAAACTTTATGGTTAAAGCTAGGAACTAAGCTTGTATTCTCTACCACTTGTCACCCACAAACTGATGGGCAAACAGATGTTGTCAATAGATCTCTTGGTACTATGTTGAGGGCATTCCTCAAAGGTACGTAATAAAAAGTCATGGGATGATTACCTATGATGGAAGAGCATGGGCTAAAGGCCCAACCACTAGAGCTATGGCCAGGAGGTTACTTGAAGATTTGACTGCTTCAGAGCTTAGTGGGCCCAATGGGCTTGGTGGGCCTAGGGTGCTTCTCACTTGGGCTTGATTGATTATACACCATGTCTAATTGTACTTTCTTAGTATAGGAATCTATTTTCATGTTGGTCTTGTATTTTGACCATAGATTAGGGTTTAGGTGTTTTGGGCTTAATTTTGGGCTTCTTGGGCTTTGGGCTTTTGATACCCAATATTGGGCTCATTCTTCTTCTTATATTTTTCTCTATTCATTGTATTCATTAGACCAATGTATTTCGGTCATTAGAATAGGATTATATGAAGAAAACATTAATAGGAGAATTAGGTTTCATTTAGACATCATTTAGAAGTAATTTGAGTTGAATTTGAGTCACATGGTTTGCATGGGATGGATCCGGCCATGTGAGCTCCAAATTCACCTCAAATCA